TTGCAATTTATGTAATTACTATGCACTTAATGCAGACATATTATTAAGATTTGGGCTATAACAGTTGTATTGATGTATGGAAAGTTGAAACGCTCCCACAAATGGCTCCACAGCATGTAAAAACATAAAGATAAGCTCTAGCGGACTTGGTTCTATGGCAGGTCTTAAAGGGTTAAATAGCCTGTGGCAAATATATTAGTGTTGTCTTCTCACTATACATGCTCTTAACTTTATGCAAGAGAAAATAAAGTATAAAAAAATGATATTTTTCGCAAAGAAACTCCGTCTTGTTGTTTGCGACCTGGTGCTGCTGTACGTGCACCCGGATTTGCGACATGCTTTACAATAACTCAAAACAAAGACTGCACCCTCGGCACTTGCTGTTTACAGACTGCGTACTTTCTAGATGACCACAGGTCAGGTGGTATATTGTGATATAAAATAATTCATATCGTGATAAATATTTTTCCATATCGCCCAGCACTACTCCACAACTCAACTGTTGTTTGTTGCACTCAGGAGAGGCTGAATAATCCTAAATTTAAAATATAACCATTGATTCTCAATCAAAGTTATAATTTTCCTCCCCTGCAGCAGTCTGAGTTAGTGATTGGTTTCCTTTTTGTGTTCAGGCCGATTCACTCGAATCTGGAAGCAGCGAGCTTTACTTCTAAAATCTGGGCTTCATGCCGCGACATCATTTTGGAGTATTATGAAGACATGTCATGGTGCTCTTCCACCGCTGAAAATGTCATGAACGACCTCTTTCAAGCCAGCGAGGAAACAGACTTCAGTCAAAAGAGGGGCGTAAACAAAACCCCCCCCCACTAGAATCCAGTGAATAAAGAATTAGACTTACGTCTGACTGATTTAGATCTTCTGAGGGGGCGGGGCTTGGTAACACCACCACAGGAAAGCATTGCTCCACCGGCCAGGTTGAAATATAAGGATCTGAAATGATGATGATGATGATGGAATGATGTGTTGGGAAGGCTCTGCATAAATGAGCGTACCTGCCTGCATTGCTTCCAGCATCAGGAGCTCATTCTTCCCTCCACAGCAACAACTTCACTCACAGTAATGAGAGAATACAGCAGGAAACTGATTTGTCCCGTTGGGCTTTTAGTCGTCTTTAATCTTTAACGTGGATTTGATTTTCTTTTATCTTTCAGAAACGTTTTTATTGTGTAATAAAGCAGAAATCACAGCCTTTAAATGAGTAATATTTCATGGCAGCATCACTAAAAACAACAAAAATAACTTTGCTTGAACCTGACAGGTTCAAAGGTGTGCGCAGGTTCTGAAAGCTCCCTCAGTTATCTGCTGGTGAAGGTGTTATTTAGGAAACATTAGCAGTTTTATTAGGCGATGATTTGTTGAAACAAAGATGCAGCACAAATTTGAGACCGAGAGGAAAATGGCTGGTTGAGAGTAATCACTCACAGTCAGCAGTCTTTCGAGACGAGAGAAGAATATATAATGTTGCAAGCCCACAGGATTTGGAGCTGAGGAGAATAATAAACAGTCGAGCGAGCCGCGTGCAGTTCAGAAATATAAAGTCTTAAAAGAAACAAGCAGGAGCTGCAAGTAGGGAGAAGAAAGTCAACGCCGATCCACAGACTGTATATAAAAGACAGAGGTAGTCCACGTGATGTTGCTCGGTGTTTTACGACGTCTCGCTGTGAAGCCTCAAGTCTTTTTGTACCTTTGAAAAGGGGACCTGACTAGTAAGGCTTACGATGTAGCTGATGCAAAAACTTAAAGCTGCACTCTTTCTAATGACTCTAATAAAAATACTGCAGTGCAGATTTACGCTACGTCCACACGTACCCGGGTATTTTTGAAAACGCAGATTTTTCTATGCGTTTGCACCTTTCGTCCACA